ACTTCTTTATTCTTGAGATAATGTCTCAGGCTGGAATGCAGGTGATCCTTCTAGCTCAGCCCCCCAAGTAGCTGGGAACACAGGTGCACACCACCCTGCCCGGGCAATTTTTGTATTTTTTGTAGAGACAGGGTTTTGCCATGTTACCTAGGCTGGTCGCGAACTTCTAGGCTCAAGTGATTCACCTGCCTTAGCCTCCCAGAGTTCTGGGATTATAGCTGTGAGCCACTTCTAAGTGCTGTAGGGCTGCAAGGCTCAACCCTCTACAGTTATCTTTTCCATATTCATTTATTTGGTGACCATCTTAAACTAAACATATATAAAACTGAACTCTTCATCTAATCCACTTCTACTACCAACTCTTCATTTCTCCATCTTCTTCATAAATGTCAAGTAGATTCTCCCAGTTGCCCAGTCTTAAATCTTAAAATTATCCTGAACTCCTCTCTTTTTCATTGTCTTTACCTTTGACATATATCCAAAAGCTCACAAGTTACCCCCATGACCATATCCTCTGCTCCCACCTAGCCTAAGCCATCATTTCTTGCAAGGTTCTTTCATCAGTTTTCTTACTAGTCTCCCTGCCTGCACCTGTGCCTATAATGGATAGTTCTGCCCAGAGAAGCTAGTGTCAGTTGTTTCACAGGGTTAAATCAGTCCATGTCCCTCCTCTGCTCTAAAATCAACAATGACTCCCACCCTACTCCAAATAAACCACAAATCTCTCCCATAACCTCTTTGTCTTCTATATACTTCTCTAAAATTCTCTTTAATCCCTACCATTGCTTGGGAAATCTATCTCTCACTCTCCTCCACTCAGTGCCCTGACCTCTTGGTTCTTTTTGGGGTATGTGAATGTCTGGAGATTCTTTTATTTATTTATTTTTTTGGTGTTCCTGGGTCTGGAGATTCTTAATGGGTATTGTCACAGTAGCACAATAGCATGGTAAGTGAGAGTAAGAGGCTTTGAAGTAAGAGAGATTTGGTTCAAATCCTGGCTCCTTCATTTACTTGCTCCCCTTGTGCCCTTAATCCCATCTCTTCTTACCTGCTTGAGAACATAACTCCAGGTATTCCCACCTCTGTCTCGCATCAGTAATTTCTTCTTCTCTACATGCTATAGTATCTACTATTTTTAAGAAAATAAAGTCCTCCCTTCACCTCCCATCCTCCTCCAGCTTCTATTCATTTCTCTTCTCCCCTTTACAGTAAAATTCCTTGAAAGAGTTGTCTATACTCACAGCTTCCAATTCTTCTGTTTCTCTCTTATACTGTCTCCAAAGAGGTTTTTGCCTATATCACTCCACTAAAATAGCTCTTTCTGATGTCGCAAATGAACCTCCGTGTTGTCATCAAGTAAGTTTTAATCCTCGTGTGCTTAATATTTCAGCAGTATTCTAAACAGTTGAACCCTCCCTCTTTCTTGAAACACTTTATCCCCATGGCTTTTAGGATGGCATTTTCTTTTTCTTTTTCTTTTTCTTTCTTTTTTTTTTTTTTTTGACACGGAGTCTTGCTCTGTCAGCAGTCTGGAGTGCAGTGGCGCAATCTTGGCTCACTGCAACTTCCGCCTCCTGAGTTCAAGCGATTCTTCTGCCTCAGCCTCCGGAGTAGCTCGGACCACAGGTGCGTGCCACCATGCCCGGCTAATTTTTTTGTATTTTTAATAGAGACGGGGTTTCACCCCGTGTTGGCCAGGATGGTCTCGATCTCTTGACTTCGTGATCTGCCCGCCTCGGCCTCCCAAAGTGCTGGGATACAGGCGTGAGCCACTGCGCCCGGCCTAGGATAGCATTTTCTTACCGGGTACCTTACTGGCTGTCCCTATTCAGTATCCTTTGTTAATTTCTCCTCACATTCCTGACCGCTAACCATTAGTGTGCCCCACAATTCAGATCTTGGATTGTTTCTCTTCTTTATTCAGTAGTCTCCCCTTACCCACGGTTTCACTTTACATGATTTCAGTCACTCACAGTTAACTGTAGTATGAAAGTATTAAATAGAAAACTACGGAAATAATGTACAAATTTGAAATTAGTCTTCAACTTTTATAGCCTAATGCTACATCGTAATTCCTATGTCATCCACCTCATTACATCTCATCGTGTAGGCATTTATCATCTCACACCATCACAAGAAGAGTGAGTACAGTATAAAAAAAGTATTTGAGAGAGAGATAGAGACCACATTCATATAACTTTTATTTGAGTATATTTTTATAATAGTTCAATTTTATTATTAGTTATTGTTAATATCTTATTATGCCCAATTTATCAATTTAAATTTCATTTATAATTAAACTATTTTTCTTTTTTTCCACAAGAAGATTCAGAAGAGTTATACATTAACTTTGTCCTATACATAGATATGTGTAAGACAAAGCATAGTGTGTGTAAGGTTTCATACTATTTGAGGATTTAGGCATCCACTGGGAGTCTTAGAACATGTCTCCCATGGATAAAGAGGTGCAACTCTACTCTTTCCCTGGATAATCTCACCCAGTCCCATGACTTTAACTACCATATGTACACTGAAGACTTCCATATTTATATCTGCACTTCAGACTTCTCTCAATTCCAGATGCATCTATCCAACAGTTTACTCAACATTTCCTCTTGGAAATCTAATAGGCATCTTAAATGTAACATGTTTGCTATAGTTTGAATATATATGTACATTAAAAGCTAATCACCAAGGTGATGGTATTTGAAGGTGGTGCTTCTGGAAGGTGATTAAGTCATGAGGGCTTCACTCTCATGAATGGAATTGGTGCCCTTACAGTAGAGGCTTCAGAGAGCTGCCTCCCCACTTTTCTGTGCCCTTCTATTTCTTCTGCCATGTGAGAACGCAACATTCATTGGAAGCAGAGACTAGGCCCTTACCAGACACCAACCCTTCCAATGCCTTTATCTTGAATTTCTCAGACTCCAGAATGCTAAGAAATTCATTTTTATTATATAAATTATCTGGTCTCAGGTATTTTGTTATAGCAGCAGAAACAGACTCAGACAATGTTTAAAGAGAAAACACAATTACCCTCTCTACAAACCGGATTCGTCTCCAAATCCTGTCCATTTCTCTTGATGGCAGCTTTACCGTTCCAGTTGCTGAAATCAAAAGCCTTGGAGTCATCCTTAGCTCATTTTCCTCTCACACTCCATACCCAAGATATCTGCAAAATATGTTACACTTTTCTTCAAAACATCATCAGAGCTGGGCACAGTGCATGCACCTATAGTCTCCACTACTCAGGAGGCTGAGACAGGAGGATCACCTGAGCTCAGGAGTTCCAGTCCAGCCTGGGCAACAAATGAGACAGTGTCTCTTAAAAAATCAGAATCTGATCAGTTCTTCCCACCTCAATCACCACCAACTTGATCCACACCACTATCCTCTTTCACCTGGATTACTGCAACAGCTTTCCACCTGATCTCTTTGTTTTTGCTTTTACTCCCTTAAAGCCTATTCTTACTAACATGGCAACTGCAGTGACCCATTTAAAATTTAAGTTTGATTACATCATTCCTCACTGAATATCTTCCAAGTATCTCAATTTCAATCAGAGTAAAAGCCAGCATCCATATAATAACCTGCAAGCCCCACCTGATTTAGCACCTGCATTGTTCACACTGCTTTCCTACTCTGTTCCAGTCACTCTGGTCTCCTTGCTGTTCCTTAAACATGCCACATGTTCCCACTTTGGAGCCATTGTACTGGCTATTCCTCTGCCTGGAAAACACTGCCCCTGGATATCCATATGGATTGCTCCTTGGCTTCCTGCAGGTATCTGCCCAGATGCCTTCTCCTCAGAGAGTCCTTCTCTGATCATCCTTCTATATCCACACACACCAACACTCTCTTCTCCCTTTACCCACTTTACTGTTTCTCTTGAAAAAATCATCATCCGCTATCTTATTATTTTATGTAATTTCTGTCTCCTCCTCCTAGAATGTAAACTTCTAGCAGGACTTTGTTTTATTCACTGCTCTACTCACCAGCATTTCTTTCTTTATTTATTTAAGTTTTAAGGCACAGAGAGTTTAATAGGCAAGAAAGAAGGGAGGAGGGCAGAAGGAAGAAGATCCCCTGTACAGAGAAAGAAGGAGGGAGGCTCCAAAGCTGAAAGAGGGAACCCCATCTGCCATGAATACCAGCCAGGCATATATACAGAGGCTAGAGTAGGCAGTGTCTGATTTGCATAGGGCTCAGGGTATGGTTTCACTAGGCATGTCATTCACAGAGCCTGCAAAAAAGCTGGCCCTCCCACCTTAGCTTTTAATATGCAAATGTAGGGCGCCATGATGTTCTACACACCTGGGGATATGTGGGGGCTGCCATGTTGCCAGGAACATGTGGGGCAAGGGCAAGAAGGCCATGTTGGGTGGACCCAGTTTCTTTTTTCTTTTCTTTTTTTTATTGTACTTTAGGTTCTGGGGTACATGTGCAGATCATGCAGGGTTGGTGCATAGGTACATCCATGGCAAGGTGGTTTGCTGCCTCCATCCCCCCATCACCTATATCTGGCATTTCTCCCCATGTTATTCCTCCCCGACCTCCCCACCCCACCCCACCCCCCGCTGTCCCTCCTCTAGCCCTCCAACAGACCCCAGTGTGTGATGCTCCCCTTCCTGTGTCCATGTGTTCTCATTGTTCAACATCCATCTATGAGTGAGAACATGCAGTGTTTTATTTTCTATTCTTATGTCAGTTTGCTGAGAATGATGGTTTCCAGATTCATCCATGTCCCTACAAAGGACATGGACTCATCGTTTTTTGTGGCTGCATAGTATTTCATGGTGGACCCAGTTTCTAAAGACTGGCATTTGCATATTAAGGGTTGCCAACCAGGCTCTAAGAGCTGGGGCTTTACAATAAACTTTTCTGGAGATGCTTTAAAAAATGAAAATTTCCCAAGGACCCCTTTTCTTCTCTATCTGCCTCAAATAATTTCTTTTCTTTCTTTTTTTTTTTTGAGATGAAGTTTCCTTCTTGTTATCCAGGCTGGAGTGCAATGGTGCAATCTCAGCTCACCGCAACCTCTGCCTCCCGGGTTCAAGCAATTCTCCTGCCTCAGCCTCCCGAGTAGCTGGGACTACAGGTGTGTGCCACCATGCCAAGTTAATTTTTGTATTTTTAGTATAGACAGGGTTTCACCATGTTGACTAGGATGGTCTAGATCTCTTGACCTCGTGATCCACCTGCCTTGGCCTCCCAAAGTGCTGGGATTATAGGCATGAGCCACTGTGCCCGGCCAATAATTACTTAATAACTCCTACCACATTCCCCACTGTGGAGATATCACACTAACTGCTGTTAGAGGGTTTTGGGTGATGACTCTTTATGGCTACTTCCTGCTGAAAAAGGATGTCGAATGGGAAACAACAGTTAGGACTCCTCCTGGTGTAGATTTAAGAGTCCTCAGAAGACTGGCGTGTTCATGAGTGGTTCAGTTTGCAGCATCATTTGGAGTTTGATTGCTTCTAGGCGAGAAGAAGTAACTAGAGTTATAGTATTGAGTATACAGGGTCCAGATATTTATACAAGACATACAAGCAAGAGAGGGCTTAATAAGGGGTTAACCAATTCCATAAAGAAGACTCTCTACTCACTAGCACTTAGAATAGTGCCTGGCACATAATATTCAATTAATATTTGCTAAATTAATGAGTGAATTGATGAACAAATCTCTACAAAGACCCCTCCAAACAGATAGTGTTTATAGAACAAGTCTTTGGTAATACTTAGGCAAAGTAACTAAAACATCCAGCTCACCCCAAAATAAGCAGATACACATCTCAATGAGGAGATGTGTTAGAATAAATATTGACAATTCTGCATCTCTTTTTTTATGTCTGGTCCTTATACCTGGAAGTAGGGATATAAGTCTTTATTTTACAGGTAAAGAAAGTGATGAGGCACAGAGATTTTAAGAAACTTCCAAGGCCACCCTTCAACAAATATTTATTAATCACTTACCATCTGCCACAAACAGTTCTGGGTACTGAAAATACAGCAGTGAACAACACACATGGATTGCCTATGCTTCCAGGAACTTAAATTACAACTGAGTAAATGATCTTATAAGCAAGACACTGAAGTGTACTTTCATTGACTTGGTAGTGGATCAGCGGATAGCCCTAAAACAGATACCTGTTAGATGGAGATCCTGATCCAGTACGTCTAGGGTAGGGCCCAATTTTCTGCATTTCTAAAAAGCTCCTAGGCACTGCTGGTTCTGTTGGTCCAGGGACCACACTTTGGACAGGGTCCTAGTGTAAAATACACTATCAAGGGAACAGAAAATCTACTAGGCCCCAATCCTTTTGTATAACACAGTCTAGATAGAAAGGTAAATTACAGCAAGTCAAGCAAATTTCAAGGGACCAAGACTTGGGATATCCTGACAGGTGTGTTAAACATGGTGGTGGAAATTCTAGAAGCAGCTGGTGTTCAGAGATTCTGCAGAGCAGGCAGGATTAGGGAAGTTAATCACAAGGCTGCATGGTTACAGACACTAGAGAAAAATTCTAATTTCTGGGGAGAGGGAGAAAAAGCACTAGAAAGAATAAGGGAGACTCCTAGTTATAGGAAACTATCAGGGCCCAAACAGATGCCCAGGAACAAAAGGCCAGAATCAGAGCAGACCTATAAGATGGGGGCTTGGATTCAGGATCAAGGCTGAAGTCATTACTATGGTGTCATAACAAAACTTTTCTTGAACCTGAGCATTGAACTGAAAGCCCTTATATTCTTGCTGGAAGGCAGGATTAGTTCCAGAGATGGGGTAGCGCTCACTGCACCTGTGGATTGGGATCAAGTGGCTCCAAGGGAGACCAGTGAAGGGGATTTGATTCTACGAATAATGGGGTTTTGGAGACAGGGAACCAAGCAGATTCTACACTGTTTCTATCAGGAATTCTTGGAACTCACAGAGAGACATAAAGTGTATTAGTCTTTGTTTTGAATGGCATGGTCCAAAAAGAGAGAAATTTCATATTGATGATTCACCAGAGATAATGAAAAAAGCCCCCACTGATTTCTCTCTTATCTGTCAGGATGAAACACACTTGGATATGAAGAATATTAAACTAATATTGGGAAAGAAGAGATGGCAGAGATATGTTGAAAGTAGACTGATGGAAGAGACTGACAAAAGCAGAAAAATGAATCTGCTATTTACAAACTACGTCCCCAAAGAGATAAAGAGAAATGCTGGAGAAACCCAAGGAATCTAGAATCTAACACTACAAATATCACACCAGTCTGCACATTAGTGTGCACCAACTGAACTTTGCAAAGAAGGACGACTAAGCCCCAGTTTCCTGGAAACTCACTGAACAGACAGGCCAAAAGAGCCTTCAAAACAAGCCAGAAAAGGAGTGTGGCCCTGCTGACTTGGAGCTGTACACCAGGAGCAATACTGGTTAACAGCATGCCTTCTATAGCCAGAAAAACAAGAGTCCAATATCCAGTTCTGCCACTTAACTTCTCTGGGCCTCAGTTGTCTCACCTATAAATAGGGATAATAATAAAATAACCTACACCACAAAGGTGGGCCAAAATTAAATTACTCAATGTACATAAAGTGCTTGGAACAGTGCTGGACACATTGCCAGTGTTTGATAGGTTTTAGTCATTAATGTTGTTGCTGTTGCTGCAGCAAGAATGCGCTGGAAGTGATGTGAAGTCTAAACTTCTCATTTACAAGAAAACAGCATGAGATCCAGAGAGAAGTCGGGTGTAGCTCCAGGTCACCAGCAAGCTCATAGCAGAGCTCAGAACAGAAACCAGATCTCTTGAGTTCTATGCTCTTTCTACTATACAACATTAACTTTCAGAAGGGTGGCTTCCTAACTTCTTAGATCACATTCCACAGGGGGAAAAAAGAGAAAATCTCAAACATGGTATTACATGCTTTGTATAGAAAAACAAAAATAAGGATGACAACAGATTTTTCATGAGAAATGATGCAGGGACTCCATGTTTGGGTCCCGTTCCATGAACACTCTGTGGAAGCCATCTTTCTCTTTCCTGGATTTCCCCTCTGGGGTCCCCTTCCACACTCTCTTGTGGAAGCCTGTCTTCCGCTCCTAAACTCCAGCTGTCTCTACTCCCTTTCACTCAGTGTGTAAGCTGCTTTCCTCTCCTGGATCCCATCTTTCTGGATTCTCTCACTCAGCGTGAGAGTTAGCTGTTTCTTTCTCTCCCCTCCTGTTTCTCTCTCTCTCTAAATAAATCACTTTCTACAAACAACAACAACAACAACAAAAAGAGAAATGATGCAAATGAGAGGACAGTGAAGCAACATCTTTAAAGCACTGAAAAAAATGTCAGGTTGGAATTCCATACCAAGTGAAAATATGTCTCAAAAATGAAAGCAGAGGATAGTGGCACTTCTGCTTTAGGGAAGATGGAGTTGATGTATTTTTCCCTGATCCTCCTGCCAAGTACAACAAAAGTCCTTGAAATTATATACAAAACAAATCTGAAAAGGTAGAGAGAAGAAGGCAGACTGGCTAGAAACCTGGGGACCCAAGGAACCACAAAGTGGTGAGTTCCCTTTTGGGTTTCCCTTTTGCTTCATATATCCTGGACTTGGAGCTGAAGAAACCTGCAACCTAGAGATGGTTACGAGTTCAGAGAAAAATTCCTGCTCCCTCTAGTTAGGGGATCAGGAAATGGGCGCCTAGCAAGACAGTAAACTTTTTTTTTTTTTTGAGACAGAGTCTTACACTGTCACCTAGTCTGTAGTGCAGTGGTGTGATCTCGGCTTACTGCAATCTCCTCCTCCTGAGTTCAAGCAATTCTCCTGCCTCAGCCTCCCGAGTAGCTGGGACTACAGGCATGTGCCATTGCACCCAGCTAATTTTTTTGTATCTTTTAATAGAGACGGGGTTTCATCATGTTGGCCAGGATGGTCTCGATCTCCTGACCTCGTGATCTGCCTGCCTCGGCCTCCCAAAGTGCTGGGATTACAGGCATGAGCCACTGCGCCTGGCCAAGACAGTAAACTTTTATGCAGTAACCACTCCACTTCAACCAAGTGCCACTGAAAAATATGATGCCACCCCCACCTATACCAGCAGAGACTGAGTGGTAAGCCTAGACTTCCAGTTTCATGGGGCTATAATGAGTTGTCCCAATGCCCCTGCTGGAGAGGTGTCAGAGTAGCCACCTAGGACTTTAATTCCTGCTGGATTATAAGAATCCAACCCTCCATACATACACAGTGTCAGTGGGAACTATGTGGGGAGTCTGGGTTTCTACCCCAACCAGCAGTAAAATGTGCCTGTTTATCCTCTAGGGTAAGGTGAGAGGAGGCCTATTGGAAAGTTAGGATGACAATGAATGGTAACAAGGTCATCTCCTCCTTGTGGTCTGAATGGAGGCCATGTGGACAGCATTAAAAAGGCACTCATATATCTCTCGGCCAGGTACATATCAATAGAGATCTAGTGGGGTGCTGGAATTCTCATTTCTACCTGCCGCTAATACATAGCCCTCACTCTTGGTGTCAACAGAGGTTGAGTAGGGGACTTGGACTACTGCCTCTACATGGCAGTAATATGGCAGAACACAACCCTTCATTTTCTGAAAAAAAAGCCAGCTCAAACAGAAGTTTAAAGATAGTCAGTTTCATAAGATAAAATCTAAAATATCCAAGTTGCAATCAAAAATTACTTATCATACCAAGAGTTAGGAATATCTCAAATTGAATGTGAAAAAAAAATCAATAGATGCTCACACCAATTTGGCAGATGTGTCAGAATTATCTGACAGAGTTTGGAGCAGTAATCATAAAAATGCTTCAATAAGCAATTATAAACCTGATTAAAACAAATGAAAAACTAGAAAGTTTCAGAAAAGAACCAGAAGATATTAAAAAAAAATTGATATTTTAGAACTAGAAAATATAATAAGCAAAATTAAGAAACCCTCAATGGATGGGTTCAACAACAAAATGGAGAGGGCAGAGAAATAATCTGCAAGCTAAGTTAGAAAAATAGAAATTACCCAATCTGAACAACAGAGAGAAAATATACTGGAAAAAAATGAACAGTGCCTCAGAGCACCTAATAACAGAGCTTCAAAACACATGAAGCAAAAACTATTCAAATTTCAAAGATAGGTCATTACACAATTCTAGTTGGATGTTTCAATACCCACCCTTAATAATTCATAGAACAAGCAGAAAGAACATCAGTGAGGACATAGTTCAATTCATTATCAATCAACTGGATCTAATTGACACTTATAGAATGCTTCAGCCCACAACAGCAGAATGCATATCCTTTTCAAGTACACATGGAATGTTTATCAACATAGACCATATTCTGGGCCATACAATAAATCTCAATAATTTAAAGACATTTAAGTCATAGAAAACATATTCTCTGACCACTGTGAAATTATATGAGACATCAATAAAAAAAAAAAAAGATCTAGGAAAATCTCCACGCATTTGAAAATTGAATAACACCTTTCTTACATGACTAATCAGCCAAAGAAGAAGTCAAAGCGTCGTTAGAAGATGTTCTGAACAAAATAGAAACAAAAACACAACATATCAAAATGTGTAGTATGTTGCCAAAGCAGTATGGAGGGAGAAATTTACAGTACTTAACATTTGTACTAGAAAAGAAAGAAAGTATCAAATGTCAGCTTCCTCCTTAAGACACTAGAAAAAGAGGCTGGGGCACAGTGGCTCACACCTGTAATCCCAGAACTTTGGGAGGCAAGGCAGGAGAATCACTTGAGTCCCAAAGTTCAAGACCAACCTGGGAAACCCAGCAAGACTCCATCTCTCCAAAAAAATGTAAAACCTCAGCCAAGAGTGATGGCACACACCTGCAGTCCTAGCTATTCAGGAAGCGAAGGCAAGAGGACTTGAGCCCAAGAGTTTGAGGTTGCAGTGTGTCATGATTGTGCCACTGCACTCTAGACTAGGCAATAGAGACCCTGACACACACACACACACACACACACACACACACACACACACTCTAAACCAAACCAAAAAAATTAGGAAAAAAAAAGAGAATACAAAGCCTAAATTAAGTAGAAGAAATGAAATACTGAAAACTGAACCAGTTAAAAAAAATGAAGTAGAAAACATAAAAGGAATGCAGAAAATTAATGAAAACAAAAGCTGGGTTGGGGGGTTGAGTGAGGGCATGGAGTCTCACTCTGTGACCCAGGCTGGAGCACAGTGGCATGATCTTTGCTCAGTGCAATCTTCGCTTCCCAATTCAAGTGATTCTCCTGCCTCAGCCTCCCAAGTATCTGGGATTACAGACTCCCGCCACCATGCCTGGCTAATTTTTTTTTTTTGTATTTTTAGTAGAGGCAGGGTTTCACTATGTGGGTCAGGCTGGTCTCAAACTCCTGGCCTCATGTGACCCATCTGTACCTCCCAAAGTGCTGGGATTACAGGCATGAGCCACTATACCAAGCCCAAAAGCTGATATTTTGACAGAAAAAAAAAGATAAACTTTTATTCAGACTGATCAGGAAAAAAAATAATTGCCTATTAATGAAAGAGGCAATATCTAGTACAAATATTAAAAAGAAAATAAAGGAATATTATAAACAACTTATTCCTAAAAAGTCAACACTTTGCTGGGAGCAGCAGCTCATGCCTGTAATCCAGACACTTTTGGATGCCGAGGCAGGAGGAACACTTGAGCCTAGAAGAGACTAGCCTGGGCAACATAGCAGGACTCCATCTCTACAAAACTTTTTAAAAAAATTAGCCAGGCGTGGTGGCATGCACCTGTAGTCCCAGCTACTTGAAAGGCTGAGACAGGAGGATCACTTGAACCTGGGAGATCAAGGCTGAAATGGGCCATGATTGCACCACTGCACTCCAGCCTGGGTGACAGAGCAAGACACTGTCTAAAATGAGTAAATAAATAAATCAACACCTAGATTAAATGTACACATTTCTTGAAAGACACAATCTATGAAAGCTCACTCAAGAAGTAGATAACTTGAATAACACTAGATATGTTACAGAAATTGAATTAATCGTTAAAACTCTTTTCCTATGAAAACTCTAAGCCTAGATTTCCTTGCTTATGAATTCTGCCAAATGTTTAAGGAAGAAATATGAACAATGTTACCCAAACCCTTCCAGAAAATTGAAGAGGAGGAAATCTTTCCAAGCTCATTTGATGAGAAAAGCATTACCCTAATACCAAAACCAGACAAAGTTGGTATAAGCAAAGAAAACTGCAGACCAAAATCCCTCATGAACTTAGATGCAAAGATTCTAAACCAAATGTTAGCAAATTGAATCCAGTAATATGAAAAACAGGATAATGTGTTATGACAAATTGGGGTTTGTATCAGTAATGTAAAATTGTTTAATATTTGAAAATCAATCAATATAATTCACCATATAACAAAGATGAAAAACTATATGATCATCTCAATATATGCAGAAAAAAGTCCAACATCCATTTCTGATAAACACTCAGAGCAAACTAGGTATCAAAAGAAACCTCAATTTGATAAAGGGCATCTACAATAATATCACTGTTTATGTGAAAGATGGAATGTTTTCCCCATTGAGATCAGGAACAAGACAAAGATATCCACTCTTATACTATTCAGTGTTATGCTGGAAGTTCTAGCCAGAGAAATAGCCAACAAAAGAAACAAAAGGGAAAGAGAAAAGTAAAACTGATTTTATTTGCAGATGGCATAAAAGTCTATGTTGAAAATCTGATGGAATATACAAAACAGTTACTAAAAGTAGCAGGTGAGTTTAGCAAGGTTGAAAGACATAAGATCTACACAGAAAAAGCAATTGTATTTCTTGTATAATGTATTAATTGCATAGTATATTTCTATTACACTAACAATCAACAACCAGAAATCTACATTTTAAAATACCATTTATAATAACATCAAAAATATCAAATACTTAGCAATAAATCTGACAAAAGATGTATAAGGCATACACACTGAAAACTACAATGCATTAGGGAGAGGAATTAAAGTGATCTAAATAAATTGTAATTACATGTTGTTTATGGGTTGGAAGACTAAATATTGTTAAGAGGCAACTGTCTTTCCTTTTTCCTACATATTTACCATAATTCCAATAAAAATTTCAGAAGCCTTTCTTATGGCAGTTGACAATGTGACTCTAAAAGTCACAGAAATGCAAAGGACCTAGAGTAGCCACAACAATTTTGAGAACAAAGATGATGGACTAACACTATCTGACTTAAAGACTTCTTATAAAGCTACAGCAATTAAGACAATGTGGTACTGGCATAAAGATAGACAAATTGATCAGTGAGACAGAATAGAGAGACCAGAGATAGACCTACACGTATATGAACAACTGAGTTTTTAAGAGATGGTGTCTTGCTATGTTGCCCATTGCCCAGGCTGGTTTCAAACTCTGGACCTCAAACGATTCTCCTGCCTCAGCCTCCCAAGTAGCTGGGATTACACGTACACACCACTGCACCGAGCTAGCAACAACTGATTTTTGACAAAGCTGC